CAAGGATCATGCCAAGCATCATTTTGGAGTCCACATGAGTCAGCATTACCCACCAGATCCATAACCATAACCTACGGTACCTTAACAGTAGACATTGCGTATAGTATTTTTTAGTAAACAAATATACAATATCGATTTTAGTGACAATTAATGTAACTGTTAGGAACTTAACTGAAAAGTTATACTCATACTATTCCCGATCAATATTAACTACAAAGAGGAATTACAATACAGGTCAAATCTAGCCATGATTAATAGAGCAGTTCCGATATCGATTAATTGTTTTGAGTAGGTATTGATCATGGATAATTAGTAACTTTATAACTAGAATATTGCCAAACGCACCGGTTCATGGTGGCGCCATTGAAGGTCAAGGAAAAACTATCTCGGGCAAGCACCGACCGCCATTGGATGGACGCCACTTGAGGACATTATAGGCCTATTCTATAGTCTGTCTGGTTTTTTATTTTTTTATTTTACAGTGCTATCAATTTTTATCTTTAATAAAAAGCAGCAGAGTGATTTGCTATATATACTTTTATAAACATGAACTTATGACTATTTAAAAATCCGAGAGTTAATTTCTTATTCAAGGTTACGTGGTGTCTTGACAAACGTAACCTTTTCTGTGGGCAACGAATTTTTTCACACGACGAAGTAGTCGAGTTGAGTATTCTAATCACTTTCTACGCCAGGAACCAATGTTGTTAGTCTATGAAAATCTATTATTGCTCTTATTTTTTATGTTACACGAATTCACTGTTTCTGGAAAAGCCATCCTATATTGGAGTAGGATGGGACTGAAATTCAAATCAATACTTTTCCAAAGTCATTGTTTCAGGAATTGGTATTGAAATGTTGGTATGAGTTGCAAATACCCCCAACTAATTTATAACAGAGTCAAAATGGTGCAAGCTGTAATATTTCATTAAATAAAAATTACAAAGACTGACGTATGCGCCTATCATTTTATTTATTTTCTTTAAATGTACATAGATTATTAGTTGATTCCTATATTCTGTTTAATATCTTGACACTCCCCATTAGTTTATCAGTAAATAAAAACATGGATGTTCTTAACAAGTGCAAAAAGAATAAAAATTTTGCTTCTAATTAACCTACAGTGCGTCCTCCAATTCGAGACTCCTCTAATTCCGAGACCCCTCTAAGTTGAGTCCACTTTTCCAGAGACCCCAATAACAATCTTCAACCTTTTAACACAAAGGTAGCCCTCTAATTGGAGACCAACCCCGAGACCACCCTAAATTTTCAGGTCTCATTGTCTCGAATTGGAGGGCGAACTGTATTTATGCTAACTGCATATGCATAAGGCAGGCGACAAAGGTGTTATTACTAGAACGTCATCCCACTATGTGTTAAATATTCAAGATTCTCTATTCGTGTCATTTCGGAAAATCAGGCCTACATCACACTGCTAAAACAGAGTGCAGGATTAACAACAACAACAAAAACAACAACAACAATATAATTATAATTAGGCCCTAACATTTATTTGATATTTTAATTAAGAATTCTAATAGTGGTACGAACGAGTTGAGGAGATATCTATTTGTTCTATAGGTTTGTGATTTTAACCTTTCACCTAAGGGTAGCCAAGTAAAAAGATGCATTTTGTGGGTGGCAACTATCTGTTAAAATACTCTTTAATTTATCAATAATTTTAATCTCACAGATATCATCTAGGTGTCTGTTTTGTTGTAGGCCTAGATGTTTTTTCCAGCCTGATTATACGCTGTATTCTTTTGTAATCGATTTTTCTTAAATTACCAGACCGGTCCTTACATAACTTCCAAACAAATAATAATAATTAGTCATAGAGATATACATAGCATCTGCAAATAGGGTTTAGTCAATTTTGGAGTAAAAGTTACATTAGAACAAACAGAGACATATGTATGTTGTACACAACTTAAATTCACATGTTTCCGACGATTTGTAGAATTCCTCCCCTCGTCATAATCTATTTGATTAAAAAAGAAAAAACAATGTTTGCAATTTGTTTGACCTATCCTTGTACGGTATTGGTCCTGCTTCCTGTGCTGAACACCCGGTTGGTTTTATTGGTAGAGTCTGGTCATTTAGCTCCTCGAATAACCGAAACTCATACGAGAGGTAGGCGGGATAAGGGGAAATTCTCCTCACTTTACTTCTACAAAATTAGTGTTGAGGAGAGTAATTTATTTTAAAAATGTACAAAAATATCTAAAGTATTTACTTTACGATTTATGTGTCTCTCATAGACGTGTGTGTACACATCAGGTGCGTTACTTGCGTCAATGTTTATAAAGTGTTTAGTGTGAACCATGTCAAATGTTGTTACAGTTATCACTGTAAATTGTTGCATGGTCAAACTATGTAACATGCTGATGTAATTGTAACGACTTTCATGTAATGGTAACAATTTTTATAAGTCTCAAATTTGGACCACGCTCTTTTGTCCATCTCTCACACGTCACCAGATGGCAAACGTTCAGCACCTGTTGACTTCCTTCGAGTATTAACAGGTTTGGTGTTAAAACTCCTCTTCAATTTAATCATCGCCCATTGTACATTTACAAGCTTCTCTTTCTGTTTTCCTGATTCTTCGAGTAATGTATCCATTTTAATTTCTAACGCATTCATATGTTCACTGATGTTGTTTTCATCCGCGTTCGTGTCTCGTATCTGACTGTCAAGTTTAGTGTCTATCTCGTCGAGTTGCTGCAGGCGACGATCCATTTCTCCCAGACGAACAGATATTGTTAGCATCCTAAATGGAAATTTAAAATAAACAACAACAACAATAGTAGTGGTAGTGGTTGTGGTAATAATACTTAAGAGTAATAGTAATAATAAAAGTAATAGGGAGGTTTTACAAGCTTACGAGAACGATAACGAATACGATAAGTCATCAAGTTTTTAGACAATCCATCCCTTAAGAGCATATATGTGTAATAACGTAGACTATCCATGTTTTTTACATGTATCAACGATATTCAGCTCCTATATGTATTGTCATTGATGTTTTAGGCACGAATGACGATAATAAAGATGACGTATTCGTATTCATTATCGTTTTCGTAAGATTAAGAAATTTCAATAATAATTGCGGTTGGCGCACGGTTGTGGCTTGGACTCCCAAACTTGAGGTCAGGGGTTCGAAACTCTCGCTGTGCAAGTCGATTGTTGGGCAAGGCACCTACCTACGTTTGCCTCTCTCTACTTGTGTTGTGGCGTTAAATGTACTAGTTTCGTGCGCTAAACAAGTACCGGTAGCGAACGACTAGGTATACTCCACAGGGAGCAGAGAAAGTTGCACTTTGAGCTGGTGATTCGCCAGTGATTTGATCATTCGTTTAAATTGGCGCTATATTAATATTTGGGAATTATTATTATTATTATTATTATTATTATTATTATTATTATTATTATTATTATTATTATTATTATTATTATTATTAATAATAGTCATAATAATAATGACAATGATAATGATAATAACAATAGCAATAATAATAGATTAAAAATAAAACACTCTATTGCCAAGATCACCGCAGTTATATTGTCACAGTCTGGCCCAAATGTAAAACTGTATGCCAATATCATATTAAATAATTTAATGTACCTTTCACTAAGTTCTCCTATTACATGTTCGACTGACTGCTCCTTCCTTATAGTTTCTTTGTTGACATAAACTTTGATCATTTCTTCTTCCCAGCGATCAAGAAGAGTTATAGATTCGTCAGCCACTTCTAATTCATAGTTAAAAGATTCAATCAGATAAATCATGTGATTTATAGTTAATATATAACGTAGTATAGTGTAGATATTATAACTATATATTAACATTATATTGTGCCTCATACCTAGTTGGCCATATATGTTTATTAGTACCCACTCATCAATTTGTCAATGAATGAATGTATGAATGAATGAATGAATCAATCAATCAATCAATTTGTCAATGAATGAATGAATCAATGAATGAATGAATCAATCAATCAATCAAAAAGGAGAAATAAAAAAAGTAATACATCTCGATCTTGCTATGCATCCACCAATTTCTCAATGCATAAGCCTACATCTGACAAACGAAAAACATACTGTGCATTTAGTCGAATGGACGAGTGGTTAAGTCTAGGGCGACGCAACATTGGTTTGAACGGCACGCTCGCCTATCTGGAGGTAGAATAGGCCTAAGTCTTCTCGGATAAGAATTATAAACCGTAGGCCCAGCGTACACAATTGGCTCATGTACACTGTAAAGAACGCAGTACATCTTTCGAGACGAGAAAGGGGTTACCATACAGCCCCTGTTATGGACAGACGAAAATAACTGGTACAGGTGAACCGGCCAGCTTAGACACGAAGAGACCCCTAGGGAGAAGAAATTTGCTGCATGAGCTAGTCCACGCTTTGAGCCCTCTAATCTTCATGAAATAGCGCTATATCCTAAATGATGTTATGTATGTATATAGTACACAATATCATTACCTTCTTCTTCTTCTTTGTTGAAGATTTTCGGCACAATTTTCTTACGTTTCTGTTCGGTCCATTTAAAAAGCCGCCACATGTGAGCAAAAATCATGAACGGGGGAACAAGCACTGGTCGTTTCATGTATTCTGTCACCAAACGATGTCTCTCAAACTTCCAGATCACCTCCGCGTTCTCTTGATACTCGGTAAAGGTATTACTGAAAACATAAGTATTAGCATTTATGTATTACAGTTAGCAGTCATAGGAGTTAAGTGTCTTATTAAAGAATAATATCGGAATTAGATAGGTGTTTTCAACATTTTATTTTTGTAAAATTAGATGTGCTTTGTTTTGCCGTTTCCGTTTATTAATGTTTAGATGGTTTTTTTTTACTTACTTAAAAATTGCTATTAACATGTTCAAGAGAAGGATGTTAGCGATCAAGAGGTAGACCGCCGTCATTAATGGGGGAATGGCGCTACCCGTCACACACGGATCTTCGTCTTCTCCTCCACAATACGCTGTAAAAGAATCACTATGGATTTTACTAAAAAAAATAATACACAAACTAATAACTCCAGGCTTAGTACTAATAAATTGAATTTATTTATTGTGTTATACACAATTATGATTAAAGTTTAAACTTATCTACTATGGTGATGATGATGATGAGGATGATGATATTGATGAAGATGGTGGTAATGCTGATAAATGTTCGTATCACCTTAATCATCATTAGTCCAACTTTGTTTAATTTGATGAGATTGCTTACTAGATTCGAGGAATAACTCTCCATAGATCTGCCAATAAGGAATGTAGACGACTGCCTTCAATACGTCGAATGTGATTTCAGGTTCGTCTGGCTTCAGAATTCCCTGAGTAGCAACACCGTAGGCCATAGTAAAAATGCCCATGATGCAAAGGAAGCGAAGCGTGTCGAACATCTATAATTGAGAATAAAATGAACATCTTGCCTCTTGTAATTTATTTGTTTGGTTATTATGATCTTTATAATTAAAATCATCATTAACTTTGCCATCGCTATCATCATCTCCATTCTTATCACCATCGTCTTCCTCAACCTACTCCTCCTCCTCCTCCTCATCATCATTATTATTATTATTATTATGTAATTAAGGGTTATGTTTATAAATATATAATATATTTATTTATATTTATAATATATAATATTACATGTAATCATCATCATTACCGTTACTATTGTTATCGCTATCGGTCTCATTTTCATCCTCAAGTTTATTATAACGCAAGTAAGGGTTAGGACTATATAACTTACAATATATATAAATATTTTATATAGTATATTATATAGTATATAACTTATAATATACTATATAATAATATTTATATAGACCTACTTTATATATAATTACAAAATTATTGTAGTTACCATTTTGCCGATCATCGTTACATATGGCCCGAGGTAACTACTGACACTGAATAAATCCAGAAGTCGAATGTACCACAAGCACACGTCTACTGAATAGAATACCTTAGCTGTACTTCGCGTATTGTCTGCCAAACGTAAAGTAAAACCAATAACAAAACAAACAATTGCCACAAAATCCAAAATATTCCAGAAATCATTTATCCATTGACGAAATTTTTCTGAAAACATCTGTAAAAACGAAATAAAAAAACAGCATTAAGAATTTGATGCTTATGAATCGTCTTGGTCTCAGCACCAACGACTTACCTTAATTTAAGTTTTGTTTTTAACGTCTTTTACACTATTAATGTACATAGAATGTTTAAAAAGAAGATATTCCTACCTGTCGAAATTCTTCAATCGTCAAACTGATAATGTACATAATCACAAAGAACTCATAAATTGACGGGACGGCGTGTAGCTTCGTCAAAACTAAAGCACTGAATGCCAGCAAAAATAGCATGTACGATGCCTAAAAATACAATCAACGGTACACTAAATGACGTAGTAATGTTGAATACAGGTATACATTACAAATGATAAATAAAGTCCTGCAAACGGCTGCGTTAGCAACAAAACCAACGCGCTGAACAGAAGTTGATGACGCTTTCAGAACGTTATTTCTCAATTTGATTTAAGTGTTTAAACTAATGCACTTGTAACGATTTTGCTTTAATGCTTACCACATTTAGCCAGAATTTGACAATTGGAGCGGTGTAGAAATAGTTAACTTTTTTTATTCCTTCTTTGAAGATGTGTTTCTTTGATTTCTTTTCGTTTTTATTGGCGAAGTGGCTCTCTTCATTTTCACCTGACGATATCTCTTTGCGTGATTTGTATTTAATTCCAAATAAAAATGGTGGAAATATACAGCATAAAAGCACCTGTAAACAATCAATAAATAGTTAGTATTTGAAAACACAGGCCTAACATAATTGTGTTCATTTACCTCCACTCATTCATTGGCCCCTGTATTTACTGCAGGTCTGTTTATGATACCGTACTGTATGTAATGCGGTTCCCTCGCTAATCTGTTTTTAGCTTTACTTTTAAAGATTTAAGATTAATTTCAGTTGGTCCAAAGTAGGAAAATATATTCAAATGCTTTTCATAAATATTAAACAGGAATAAAAAAAAAAACAGAAAAAGATTATATAAAATCCACACATGTTAGCAATTTTGATCTCTATCCGCCATGGGCCAGCATTCTATACGATCCAAAGAGTCTCTCTCTCTGAATTCATTCGTAACCGTAATGCGGTTTAGGAACCATATCGTAAAGTACATTCAACAAATTTACAGAGGTTACGATTCTTTAGAATTCTTACTTTATATGCTTTTCTGGTTAATAGTTTGCCAACCCAGATGTCGTTCATGTGTGCTTGGCAACACTGATGTGCAACGAATTTCATATGTGACGCTCGAACGGCCAGCGAGAGGCAGGAATATCGACTCCAGTTGCTATGGCGCCGAACTGTAATTTTCTTTGCTTGCTTCTCGTTCATGTCATAGCAAATATCGAGTAGGTCATATGCATAGCCACTATATTTTCTATAATTGATAGAACAATGATATAATTATTAAATAAAATGAATAATAACGTGGCTGTATTATGTGTTTATGACGGAGTTACATGCACAGTGCGTCTATCATAATTAGACCTATAATCCCGCATTGTAATGTACCATAACTAGTCTCAACATTTACCATGAGCTCACATCTGGATCTACCGCTTTAAATCAAACGAATATACTTAAGGTTGTCCCGGTAGAACCACAATTATTTAAGTAATTCACTGAAAATATTGCAAAATTTTAATTTGGCATTTATCTAAATGATTTCTACTGGCAATATAACGTGAAAACGTTAACAATTAGTATTGGGCCTCAAAACAAGTGCACGCCACATATAAGCCTATATATGGGTCTAATCATACCCATTAAACAGTTAGACGCAATTAATTTCTCAAATGCAAAGTTGTAATATTAAATACGGCCTATATTTGAAACCTTACTCTGATTCGGACTTCAGAAGAGCAGCTGTCTCTATATCTAACTGACCATGTGCAATTTCAGCAAGCTTAGAATATATCTTCATTCCCACAAGAGCTTTTATGATGGGGTGCGTGCCTTGCTGCCAAAAGTACTCTGCTAGTCTAAACTGCTTACAGAGAACAGCCATCAGAAAGAGTTCTGAGAAAGCGTGAGGTAGTATTTCTGAGTCCTGTGAAAACAAACATGGGCTTCACAATTAGATGTATATATTCGTACAGTATTTTATAAAGTATTGTAATTGAAGTTGCTTTAGAAATTAACAAACTATACTTATTAAATGAAACCGAATAATCTTCCACATCTTCTTTACCATAATTATCTTTTTAATTTTCGTCATCAACACCAGTATCGTAGTGATGATCAACATTTTCTTCATCAGCTTCATCAATATCATCATCGCCATTATCTTCCTCGACGCAAACACATCACAAACACCACCATCGAAACATTAAACATAAACCTATTATTAAATTAATATTGTGATCGTCATTGTTCTTATGTTTGAAATTATCACCAAAGTAAAGTATATTATTATCTTAACACTTTTTTGTAGACCATGTTATCAGAACCAGAAGTGTGCTGTGTTTGAGGGCGCCCTACCTCTGACGCACAGCGTCCGTATCGACTGTCGAACTCTCCGCCCATCAAGAATTTGATGACGCTGTCTACGTGACGTAGCTTTATAGACTTGATCTTCCCCTGAAACAAGGATATAGTAGCCCTAATTCAGAAATGATTATATATTATAATTTATGTCTATAATGTACCGTGGTGTATTTATAAAACGTTCCTATAAAAGATATCAGAGATTCTAATAAAAGCGTTTCATACAGATCTCTATTATTGCATCGAGACCTAAAGTTGTACCAGGCATGTGCAAGAGTGTAAAAATCAGTTGATTCTAATAGGATTTGAATTCCCAACGAAGCTTCAGTGGACAAATTGGTTAAAGCGTCTGAATCGACAACAGAAAGGCAGAAAGGGTTCGAATCCATAAATGATGTGGACCTTACCTCAACTGACAGTGAAATCGAAAGTCTAAGCAGATCTTTAAATGTCGGTGTCGTTTTCTCTGAACACTACAAAGTAGAAAAACAATTACAATATTAAAATACCACAAAAATGAGATTACTCCTTAGGTGCCTATTATGATATAGTTATATTGCGTCGGTAACTTGAAATGACAGTTGCAGTGGTTAAGTTGTGCGAATACAGTTCCTTATAAGCCAGACACACACGACGGACGTCGGCCGACGCGATTTTAATTTATAGAGAACGCAACGCGATGAGCGAAGCGTGCGTAAAGAATGGTTTTAAATTAATTTAGCAAATTTCGTCGTGTCTAAAAGCGCCCACAAAAAGCCGGATTGTCGGCCAACGGTCGTACTGTACGGCTTTACGGTCGGCCTATTGCATCACGACCATATTTATATTTTCAACAAGTATTTAAAAATTGAATTTTAGCTCACTAAAATTATGACGTAAGACATTTAGGAATGTTTAAAAGGGTTTCATTTTTTATATATAATATTAGGAAACACGACCATATATCTACTCTTCAGGACCTAATTGAATTCAAAATAGACTTAACCAGTTATTGATGATGATCATGCACTTACCGAATTGTAGAGGTACTCTAGGCGCTCAGTGGTTAGAAATTGCTTCACTGAGACTCCGTTTTCCACAAGAAGCTTGACGAAGTCCACGTTTCCTCGCTCCAAAGCCATCAACATGGTATGATAAAGGTCATTTTTCTATTGAAAAGTCATACAATAAAACTTTCAACAATTAGGCCTATATATAAATACTGCACGTTATGAGACTCGCGATGACCCACACACAGCATCATAAATACTTTTTTTATGGGTCAAACTCAAACGTCGATGATTGCTAAACAAAACGCCACACAATTTACCTTATAGTTCGTATTGTGTTTGAATAGTGTGTTTCGGACCGCATCTGACTCGTTCCAGACTAGAGCTATTAACAGCTTTTCTCTCGGCTGGGCTTCAACTATAAGTGATAAACATACAAGTGATTTTGATACAGTCAAAACTATTACTGCCATCCAGTCTCAGTGAATAACATTATCGTTTTTGTCTTTTGGTTTTTAATGTTATCATCTTTTTAACGAAGGTCTAATGAGAACAATGTTTCTTTATATAACAAAGAATTGGTGAAATGATAGAAATCAAATCGTAAGTGTTTCACGTCAAAGTTTAACAACTTGAATCCGCTGATATTGAAGTCCGCAAGAGTAATGGACCTACTTTCGGGAGTTTCAAACTCACCAATCAGAACAGAGTCCAGACGACTGCACAAACGCACACCAGTGGCGTATCGAGAAGTCTTGAAATGGGGGGAGGGGGAGGCGCTGATCGAAGGGCGCGAAGGTGAAGTGGTGGGGCCCGATACGGTAATCAGTTGAGGGGCGCTAATTCGCAAAATATGGTGATTTTAGGTGATTTTTAACAACTCGACCATGAATTATGATGTCTAAAAATATATTTTCATGGTCAAGGATTTATAGCACTTGTGACATGGTCAGGTGGTCATTTAAAGTCATTCAATTTCATTTCTCTGTTAAATACGTAGAAAACCTTAATAGTTTGTAAGTGGTCGTGTTTTACAGCAAAATCATACATAAGCTCACAAAATTCAATTTTTGATAGGAACTATTTCATCAGAGGTCATTATGACAGCCATTTTAGGTCAAGGTCATTTAGCAGCCATATTAAATTCCAAGGTGACCACCATGTAAAACATGTTTTGTTCCTTTAAATATGTTTACTGTAATGCATAGTCAAAGAATAACATCAAAAGTAGTGCCATGTATTTGTATTTATTATATTCCATTATATATTGAAAAAGTCTGATATCAGAAATTGTATTTAATGTGAAATTATAAATTGAAATTAAAAAGAATGGTATAATATATATATATATATTATATATATATATATATATATTGTGTGTTTGTTGGGTGTGTAGGTGTATATATATATATGTATGTATATGTATAATACAGTATGTACAGTATGTGTATATATGCATGTGTATATAAGTATATATATATATAATTGAATATGCAATAATGTTTTGCTCACACTATGACGACATTACTTTCATGAAATTTAAATAATATTTTGTATTTATAATATTCAAAATCTCATAATTTTTTGACAGGATTTCTTATTGTATACCGTGGTACAGTATGTGTTTATTTAAATTAAAAATAATGAAAAAATTGTGGGTTACCCCCACAAAAGTTTTTTAAAAAAAAGTGGTGACATGGTCAGATAATTATGGTCATAAATAGGTCATTTAAGATCAATATTGTATGACATCTTAATAATACATCTTCTCAGATTGTTATTAAATAATCAGAACAGTGGCAAGATTCTACTAGTGAAATACGGTACCTTATATACAGTATGTATATTATAAGTATAGAGACTATGCTATACATAAATTAAAATACTTTGCTGTGTAGTAGTATATAAATACAATACTAGTTAAAAGATAGAATAATAATAATGTTGTAATAAATGCGAATGAGTAGCATCAAGTTGATCTCCCTTTGTTACAGTATATGTTACTGGCTGAAATGATTGAAATAATAGAAATCAACTACCTTTGAAAATAAATTAGTGACAAATGGCGGTAGACATTACGTCTGAGTTATATTCATTTCAAATAGTATACAGGAAAAATACAAACCTTTCCATCAATGACGTCGGACACGTCATCATAAAGGAGTGACGTTGATACAATACCAATGGTAACGGGTTTGCTTTCATACTTAATTATGTGTTCCTTCAGTGCCAATGAAACTGCGCTTGGTACACCTATATTTGTAGAGAACAGAAGAAAAAATATCAGTACTCGCAGGTTAGCAATATTGTTTAGATTTAGAGCCGAAAATTGTTGGTTTGTGTTCATTTCAATAATATTTTTTTTGTTGAATGTCCAAGTCAATTCATTTTACGAAGTTTTCAAGCTGAGGAGATATTAGAGCGTTCTTTGTGAGTATATTTCAGCGGAGAATGCATGTCACTGATGGGAATTTTCTGAAGTAAGAGAATTTTATATTAATGCTTGTTTGTCTGAATTCACAATAAACATGCGGTGAAGCTAGTAGGCTATGGTGTGACCAATATTCAATTACCAATCAATTGTTTATCAGTCAAATTATTATCCTTTCTCAAATTTCTTTCACGAAGTTATGGCCTGATTGCAAGCGTACCTCCAAACTCGAAACATATAGTGGAGGTCTTCTTCTTTCCTCCATAATACACATTGTGCACACATACGGGAAGGTTTTAACTCAAGAATATTAACGAATTTATAGGCCCATATAATATCTTAATATTTCGGAAATGGAAAAAACCTCTGTGGTGAAATACAGAACGTCTTGACGTGTTTTGCAAGACGTTTAAGCATCTTAATCCCGTGTACAACCATGGATGTATATTATTATTATTATTATTATTATTATTATTATTATTATTATTATTATTATTATTATTATTATTATTATTATTATTATTATTGTTATTGATATTATTATTATTATTATTGTTATTGTTATTATTATTATTATTATTATTATTATTATTATTATTGTTATTGTTATTGTTACTGTTATTATTATTATTTATTATTATTGTTATTGTTATTATTATTATTATTGTTATTATTATTATTATTATTATTATTGTTATTGTTATTATTATTATTATTATTATTATTATTGCGGTATTAATTATTGTTTATGTCAACCGATGTGTATGGTATGCCTCCCATTTCACCATGTCAGTGACCTCAGCACTTTCTTTCCCTTGGTGGTAGACCCATTCCTGGGTAAGGTAAACAATTACATTAATCTATGGAAAATTGTAAGGAAATTTGCAGTACACTATAATTAGAGTTTTATTACGATGGAAATATTTTTTGATCGTGCTTTTTATGTTGCTCGTTAATAATTACTAAACGAGCAACATGCAGCTGTTTGGTTCTCATTGTACTACAGAGTATTAGGCACCTATGACGATGAAAAAGTTTTTATGTTGCTTCTTGATATTTAAGCATAATCCTTTGAAAACTGGAAGGTTCTTATTATTTCAAGTTCAATGAACATGTTGCTGAACTTTGCTCAGAGTCTGAAACGATAGATATTGAAAGAAGTGCAGTAAGCTAATTAGGGCCTATGTTCTTTTTCTCGTGTCTAGGTCTATTATTATGCAGATATGTTATATAGTTATCCTTTTAGTAGGCAGCATTTTCCTTTAATTAAATAAGAAGTGTAGAGTATATAATCCATGTAAGAACAGTCAATTATTCATGAAGATTGCAGCTCTCTTATTGGTCACCACATTAAATGTTTTTATTAGCAGAATATGCATGAAAAAATGAATGTATTGAACGGGTAGCCAAGGTTGATAAACTAGAATATTATGGGATCACCATAATAGAAGTGGGGGGGGGGGGGGGGGGAAAAGGGGGGGGGGGGTGGTAACAAATAAGGAAGCACTTCATAAGATAAATTTTCAGAATACAATCTGTGCCGTTTGCGGTCCTCTCTATCCCCGGGGCCCAAGTCATAGGCCTGACGATCGGGTTTGACGCTTCAAGTCTAAAGGCACGGCAATTATTCTTCTGGGGCCCATCATCACCTACCTACGCCACTGCATAATTAAATCAATCAAAACACTCACTTTCTTCAGTTCCAGATGTTAGAATCCATGAATTCATATTAATTGCTGTCTGAATTATTCCATGGAAAACATTAATCACTTCAGATTTTTCATTGGCTCTCTGTGACGTATGTGGAATGGAGAACCCTAGAATTGGCAGCTTTAGGTTAGCAGTTTCCAGAAGATAATTCAGGACAGAGCCGGCGTTAGTTCCAATTGGAACATAGGTGTACTGTATTGGAGGAAAGCAAAAAGGACAGTGTCAAGTTATGCCAAATTCACGTATACCGACGAGAACTGTCAAATTATTGAATTCCAGTATTTGGTATAATAAACTGTTTTGCTCTACTTTTAGCCTTAATTTTCTTGATAACAAGACTCTATCTACATTTTGTTTGCAGAACGTTATGCACCAAAATAAAACTCAAGTTGGCTATCGACACTTATTCTGACATAATATACATTATAAAGGCCTACCTTAGCTACAAGGTTACTTTTCCCTCTTGGAAACACAAGTTCACCATTCGCTAACTGGAGTTGGAATGATCCGTCATAGAGTGACGATCTTCTCTTTCGTATCTGAAATCTTCCCAGTGCAGCAAGAGTCTTTTGTCCTGGCCAGGATGTCTTGCCATTCTTGAACTCAATATTTTCGTTGAAAACATCAGCATTTGTGTCATTTATGGGTTCAATTCCTTCCATTGTTTGTAAAACAGTCAAGAAATGTCGAAAGGATCAGTCGTTGATATGCATCTCTAACTCGTGCATAGTTAAGTGATTATAGATTAACTGAAAATTGAAACCAAACAAGAAAGAATCTTAGAATGTAACGATATAATAATATCATCGTCGTCGTCATTATCATCACCACCATCATCATCTTCATCATCATTATTCTCCTCATCACCACCATTCATCGTCATTACCACCACTCACAGACGGCTAAGAAATAAATCACTCTAGGGGGAAATCAGTAGGCATATTATCATCATCATCAGTAACGTATTTTGTCTTATGACAACGCTTTCCACTATTTCAAGCCATTTGCTTCTGTCATGGACAATATTTAGTTCGAGTGCTTTTGTGAGTGTCGCTATTGTAAAGAAAATACTTCCTACATACACATTGAATAATCTTAGCTTGATATTATTAGATAATTTTCTGCCTTCGAGTATTATATCAAATATTCGTCATGTATACACAGGCCTAATTACTTGGTTTAATGAGGCTATGGTACCAATAATAAAAAAAAAGAATAGTATTCTTTTTTTAAAAATTATTATTAGAAATTCATTGTGGTTGTTAAAACTCTCCATGTTTAGGTGCAGTATCTGACATCACCATTGTACATGTATTCAGTAAAATTATCAATAATTGGTATATATATATATATATATATATATATATATATATATATATATCACAATTATATTGTTTATTTGTATAATAGATCTCTTGTATCAGCCACATTCTGTCATTTAGTATTGTAAGCTGAAGAACACCAGAGGAAAATTTCTTTTGAAAATATACAAGTGTCGAAAATTTCTTTTGAAATAAACAAGTGTTTTATAGTCCACATGACTCGTTGCTTCAATGCCTTTTAAATATATATATAAATCATCAAAGAAAGGTAAATACAGTTTTCAAATAAAGGACATAATAATACATCGTGTAGCATAGCTCTCAATGAAAGTAGTCCTGTAAATAAATGAATAAAGAAATTGTGTAATAAAATGCCTCTGGCGGGACTCGAACCTGCGACCTCTCGCTGTCAAGGCGAGCGTCATAACCATTAGTCCACGAAGGCTTCATGGTTAAACAGATTCAAATACCACCAGATACAATCCATTACACAANNTATGTGTGTGTGTGTGTGGGTGTGTGTGGGTGTGTGTGTGAACTGTGTATGATTTTATTGTATCAATGTCTATACTTATATTTTGATGGAGACATGCGTGCTGCGTTAATATCTTCATAATCATATAAATACATAATTAGGTCTATGTATATAATATGTTGTATAAGCTGTCCCGAATTTATATATAAAAAGACGAATAGAAAAGACGATGTACAATACAGATGACTTCATGAAACAATCCGTTTCACCAATATTTACAGAGAATAAATATTTAGTGACATTGCAACTCCCTACACATAGCAAGAAACGTAGCTATTATAATGGTATAAGCCGAGCCATTCTAGAACATCATGCTGTAGGCCTACAATTAAAACCAGCCTAGGGCCTATAGCTAAATGAAAGTAAGTTTTATAACACTGCGCAGCTTGTTTAGCACAAGGACCACATTCTGTGCTAGTTTTTTGTTAGTCTTGTTTTGATGTTTTATATAATAATAATAATCACATAGACATATAGGCATAAGAACTATATTTATTTACACAAATACTTTCAAAATGTTCATTGTAAACATTATTTTGGTTTGACAAAAAAAAACTGTACTTACCACTTACTGTATTATATTTTGTAACAAGTCAAAGGAAAAATTTCAACCAACATTGAGAGCGAAAAAAAAACCTGCATCAAAGATTTTCAAATTATACTATGGGTGAAATGCTGATTTGTTTACCCTTCAGATGCCTAGATCTCTTGTAGTTGGGCAAGGATTGTGATGTTAATCGTATTGATTAAGGAAACTATAATACAATGAGGACGGTCAGACTGAAAGACAATAAAGTGAGATCCCCAACAAAGCTACAGACCATGAAGAATGGGCAATAGTACAAAATGACAGGCATTAGGAACGGAGAAATCCACGCTATTAAAATAATAAATAGGCCCTAGGCCTATATCACATCCACAATTACTCTTCTTTTAATTCCCTCAATCATACAAACTGGAAAGTAAGTTCAATACACAATAATTATTGTCTCTTCAATCACGACAATAACAATTAATATCAACTTACTATAAATATGACGTCTCATCAAACATGCGAATCATAAAATACACTTACACTGTCTGCACGCAGATACACAGGCTATAAAGTCTCCCAACTATTACTGTAATAAAAAGCAAGCAAGTAAATGAAACGGGTGAAATCCGTCTTACAAAAGTCGCCTGAATTCTAAACCTTCATAATGAATGAATCGGAAAGCTTAACTAGCTAATCTTCACTCTTGTGTCAAAATCCTGTTATTTGAAGTAACCAGGACAACGGCTGTTATGAAATATAAAACGATATCATTATTTCAATTTTATGCATTGCTTAGGTTTGCATGCTTCAGGCAGCAATATGATCAAGTAAAATCGCAACATTCTGACCTATTTTAAATACAGCTAACGCAAAGAAAAAGAAAAAAAAGTAAAGAAAAACCGATTACCGTAAAATGATTACGGGATGCTAGGATAAAAGTGGTAATGAAGCCGTGTTAGTCTAAACAATATACAAAGAAAATTAAAAGGCAGCACCCTGAGACTAACTTAGATGTTATTTATGCTAGGAGAAAGCCTACTGTATGGTTGTGGCAGGGTTAGCAGCAGCAAAGAAGAAAAACACAATTCGTCAGGGAAATAAATTAAGTATTTTTACATTTTAGTAGACTCTAATATCAGTTAATTAAGCCTTTGAAACCCTCCAAATTGCCACTATCGAGAGATTTTGACTATGGTTTGCCAAGTGTACGAACCCAGAGATAAATTAAATCTATGGCAACAACGGAATTCGAAACTAGCCTTAGAAAAACTGATTGAATTTAGTAAAATAAAAAAACGTCGCCAACAATAACCTTGCAAACTTCAAAGACAAGTGGGATTTTTTTTTACATTTGTTTTGTATACAATTAAGGGGGTCTTTTGCCATCAAGCCATGCTTTTGCCATGTGTTAGAGAATATTATAGCTGTTTTACTACAGATTTGAATGTTTGTAATCCTGTGCTTTTTTCCCTGAATCCAAGTACATGTGTACATTCATACTCGATTTTGTTTCCCCTTTACTTCATTATTTCGGAGTATTTAAATGTCAGTTTGTAGTGGAGCCCGGCTTTGGCACATTTTGGGGTCGAAAATTATATTGTACATGTATAAATAAAAGTGGTGTTGTCATTGAGTCGACTTGGGACATTCGTGAGTTAAACGTGGTATTACATTTTTAAAATTATTTAATTAGGGTGTCTTCTATTCTACTGAACGATAATAATAATAATAATAATAATAATAATAATAATAATAATAATAATAATAATAATAATAATAATAATAATAATAATAATAATAATAATAATAATAATAATGGTGCTCAAGGCGCATGTCAAAGCTCTGTTTTTAGAAGAGTGCTGTTCTCCCCCTCCCTCTGATTAAAATGGGCGCTACGCCACTGTTGCATGCTATCAGTTTAAAACGACCACTGTTCAATTGAGAGGTTGATAATTTCTATGGCTTTCAAAGGCGTTGGAAGCGTCCCGGCTGGTAATAATTTAATGTAACTTAATATCGGTTGTAAGCCAAATTGTACTTTCTCTAACGCAATCAAACTTCAAACATAACTTACACATTCACAGGGGAAGCGCCAGGATTTGCCCGAGGGGGGAGGGGAGGGGACCGAGGCTGTCTCTTATACACATCTAGATGTGTATAAGAGACAGGTGATTGGACTGTACACCGGGAGACAATTCCCTACTCTTTTCCGAAGAGTGTACTGCGTTCTTTTTTTTCTCCCCGACGAATTGTGCTTTTTTTCTCCCCGACGGCACCCCTACACATTCAGCTTATTGAAAATATAGAACAAATTTGAAATTATTTCATTTATTACTGTGAAGTATCAATAGCTTAGGCCTATTTATCATGATTTAATACACGACGTAAATAATAACCGGCGGATAATTTTACCTTTCGATGACTTAAAGATTAGATTAATTCTAGTAAAACATTTCACTTGTACTAGTAATCTTTATTCGACTCAGAAATACCGGGACGGTGTCCGGCGGGGGATAGTTTTACCTGTAAAATTTTCTTAGACGTGGTTTTTTTTTTTTTCTTAGAGGTGGTTTTTTTTTTTTTTTTTTTGTTAAGAATTAATTATCTTATCATTTTAAAAAAAGCGTTACATGTGAAAACCTTTGCTTCCAATGTAATTCCTTGCATCTCATTTTCATATTTTCATTTATTGTTTTAGACATATACTTTAAATTTTATATTGTAATTATACATGTGAATATGAATGCGACTTTGTGAAATAAATCGAAATCGAAACTAAACAAATTAAACATTTAATGATATTAAATCTGCTGTTTTTAATATTATTTGACTGCACCTAAAATAAATAATAAAGCAAGAATTTTTACTGAATACTTAAAACTGCTGAGCATATTTTCAGGCAACTTGATAAAATTCTTAATCCATCTCATCCAGAGCATGACAAAATATTCATTTTTAAAATGTGATTGTAAAAAAAATGGAATATACTGTACTGCAGCTTGTGCAATCCGAACATATATTTTATTTCATTGCATATAATACATATACTGTATTATATCCGGCAACTCGTGTATATAAACATAGACATTGTTTTTTATATTGTATTGCATATATCTTGTAGGCCTACTACTACTTGTGTATTTATTTAACGATGAAGCATCTCGTTATTATTGTTATTTAATTACAGGCCATAATAATCTGTTACACTCACAATGGTCAGTTTACATTTCATTTACCAGTGATACGAAACTGCAATAAAGAAACCTTGAAATAATCTATTTTTCTGCTTGATCTGTCAATTCGAAGAGCTTGTCCGGGCACCTTTTATAGGTGGGTATAAATATCTTCTCTGTGCAAGAACACGATGCCCTGCAAGGACATAGTTTATTAAAAAAAGGTTTTCCATCGGGACCCCCTCCACCACGGGCCAATGTGTGGAATGGGGATCATCGCATCTGCCCGGACCAATAAAAACTGCTTCCAATGCGCCTGGCTTTAGAGGTCGCACACCATAACTCCATTGTAATTTTTTAGTAGATACTTTCGAGTGTATTTATGAACTGTAGTATAAGATTTGTACATTTTTCAAAAATGTAAAATCACTTGTCTATAGAAAAACGATGTCATTGTTTAATAGGCCTACTCCTCTTCGTCAGCTCGAACAAAGCTATAGTTGGATGCATTGTTGGGCCCTAGCGGGAGTGGGGATTATTTGAGAACTTCCTGCTCCCTGCCGGACAAACTTGAACCACTCCCTCTGTATTAGACGTCACAAGGTTGTGGGACTAAAAATATTAATTTGCGGATCAAAACAATGTTGTGATTGACAATCCCTAGTTAAAAGTGCAATTTAGGCTATCATAATACATAAAATCTCTTCCCATGAATCCTGGCCGTGGCTCTATGGTTGCTCCTTTGTTTAGACCTCTTCTCTGTCAACAAAAATCAGGAACCACCACTGAGGCTAGGTCACCAAGGTAACATGGCTGGTTTAGGATCACCATATTAAAAGTTTGGCAGCAGGAGACACAGAGGAATGAACCAGAATCTTAAACACAAGACGAGACTTTTTTTATAACTTGTTTAGCGAACCCGCCGCCGGCCAATAATGACAATTTTGAACAAAAATATAATTTTATTTTTGGCCAATTAGCGGCCCTGCCACTACAAAAATGTATATTTCAGAAAAAAATAAGTTATTATTGCATCTGCCACGGCCTTGAAATCTTCAAAAATAAGATAATGTATGCGTATTTCTTACTAAGTACAGTATATAAATATAAAGCATTTAACCATCCCATTACTACACTGTTTACATTCACCTGGAAAATTTTACTTTTGCCTCAGTCTAAATGTTTTTGGCCAAACTATTTGCTAAATAAGAAAACAAAATTTTATTTTTATTTTTCCACCCTCCTCTAGTATTAAAACAAGTTCGCAAAACAAGGTATAAAAGTCTCTCTCCAAAATGTAACATAAAAAACATAACAGATATAAAGTTAAAAAAATAAAAATAACAGATATTAAGTGGGGGGGGGGGGGGGGGGGGGGGGGGGGGGGAGCATCTTACTGCTTTCTGGCTTCTCAGTGGTGGATCCAGGAACGTAAAATAGAGGGGGCCCAGGGAGGTACTTTCACAGATGGAGGATCTATACGTCAGCCCCACCATGGTTGGAGCTGAGTTAAGAAAATTTATGATTATGGCACCTCTAGATGGCCGGAAATTTCACTCTCAGACAATTTGAATATAATTTTCTGTGTCTCCATTTTAAAAAAATTTTGAACAATTTAGGGGCTGGGCACCCCCTTGAATCTGCCACTGCTTCTGGACCATATTATGCGACTTTGTCCTGGTTTCTAAAAACACATTACATAATAACACCATAAATGATAAAATCTCAAAACTATTTTCATTGAATCCAAAACTTTATTTTCAATAAGACATCAAGAGTGGTATTCTCGCGTTTGACCTCAGTTAGAAAGAAGCGCTTAAAACTCTTGAGATCGAAACACGAATACGCTTAAACAAGCTGATCCTCAAAAGGCATCAAACAACTTGAAATTTTACAGGACTGTTACAAATGTACATGGATATAAAAAATGAGAAAGCTGAAGAAAGTCCATTAAGTATGTAAAATTATCGCCAGGATGGAACATTTAAAAAATAAAAACGCAACACACTGCTGAAAAGAATTTAAAAGGTGTATGATACCAATTGAACATGATCAAAATACAATTAAAATATCTTGCTTGCACATTATTTTATCTCCTTTTCCCTGACAATTTTTTTACAAAAACACTACTTCTAAGGTGTTTGAATCAAATACAAAGGTTGATTTGAGGCAGGTGTGACCACAGGAATGTTAGTAGGACTTTTAAACATGATAATCCTTATTTTCCTTAACCAAATTAGATAACATCTATCTACTAAATATTGTGTTTATCACTGTTACAGATTATTATTCTCACTACTAACAATTATTAGTTTCCAAGATAAAAATTACTGTAAATTATCGCTTGTATGGGTGAAATTGTTGCACGGCTGCTGCTGCTGGGCGACCAAATCCTCCTGATGGTTGTCCTGGGTTGTACAATTCCTGACCATCAGGTGGGCCGCTGTATCCGCCACCTTGACCGCCTTGTGGTGGGCCGGCTTGGTAATTATTACTCATATCTTGGCCGTAATTGCCTGGTGGTCCTCCGCCAGCAGCTGAAATAATACAAACATGGTCAAACTAGACATGGTGGAACCCAGAAATTGAAACACAAAGACACCCCAATTTTCATAAATTAATAATAATAACTAAATATTATTTTTTGTTAAATTTAAGAAAAGAAAAAAAAGTAAAAAGTATTAAATTTAATTAAACATTCTGATATTGGCATTCTATGATGGAAGTACATAGCGTAGTTTAATATTTCGCTTGAGTTACTGTACTATTATCCAGTTTCTGTTTTGCATTGCTTCTTTGACATATCCAATTAAAGCCTTATCCAATGAGACCTTAGTATTTTGTACTATAAAAATGTATATAGCCATTAACCACATCCTTTGAAAATCCCAATAACAGTATTCAATCTCACTCATATGTCATTAACTATGTATTTTCTAAAACAATAATTATAAAATATTTGTGTACAATACTGAACATGTAAGGTATAATTCCAAGACAAACATTAACAATTAAACACAATTTCAGTTCCACAGAAAACAAAATAGATAATCCACAGAAGAATTAGAATTCAGCCATACAGAAGGATTAATTACGGTTATGAACAACCAACATTTATAAGACATTTAAGCAACCACACTGGAGTATACATGTTGCATGCAATAGTATGTGTACAGATATTCCTCATGTTAAACAACCAAAACATAGAAATAATCAAGATGATAAACATCAGCTGCTCAGAGCAATGACCACCTCAATTTCCTACCTCTGTATCTCTGATATAAAGATAAAACAGTTGTTCACAAACAAAAAATAAAGTATAAGAAATGTATTGTTAGGTGGTTCCAATACATTGAAAGTTTTGCAGACTTTGTGCTAATATTCACAACACCAACAGAAATAGAATTTTTCCCCAAAGATATAGAGAGAAAGTGTTAGTAGACTTCAACCAAAACAACAACCACGAAGACTACCATCGAAAAAAATAAACAGCTAGAAAAATTAAAACATGCAGAAAGACAGACTGAGGCACAAACATTCACATTTTAAAAAGTTTTTCATGCAATGTTTGACACAAAATATACACCTCGAGTACGGTGGGTGAAAACATCAGCACGATGTCAAAGGTCACTGACCTGGTGGTTGGTTGAAGTTACCATGTTGGTTGTAGTTGACACGTTGTGGCCCATAACCAGAAGCTTCTTGAGCATAGTTGCCCATGGAACCTAGAATATTAGCAGAGAAGCTCAGTCAAATGGCGCCCTCAATCAGGCCTGACACAACTAACATCAACCAAAAGTCAAACAAAAATCTGATTCACAGTACAAATAACTTCTGTGGTAACCTTTTATGAATTCTTTGTTTTATAGAAAAAATTAACTAATATTTCCAAAAAAACATACAAACTATTAAAAACTATTAAGCCATCTGACAATTATGGTATGCAACAACAAAGGTAATCATGCTTAAGATTGTTTAATATGTAGTTCAATAAGCTAGCTAGCTGCCATCAAAGCACTGAATGCTAATAATGCTCACATGTTCACTATACTGTATACTTATCAATAATCCACACCTCAACCACTTGCATCAACCATTCTACATGTGCATCAACACCCTTGAAATTGCATCTGACACTCCACACCCGTATCAACCATTCTGCATATAAACTGCTCCAAACTCCATCAGTCACCCATCAATTAAGTGTTCCAATCTCACACCAGATGCTCCACACTCACATTAAGTGTTGCACACACAGTCCCATCAGATGCTCCACACTTGCAAGATCTGCTTGACACTTGCATTAAGTCTTCCAATCTCATATCTCACACATGATGCTCCACTCACATTAAGTGTTCCACACTTCCATCAGATGCTTCACATCTTTGAAATTGCATCTGACACTCCCCACCCGTATCAACCATTCTGCAGATAAACTGCTCCAAACTCCATCAGTCACCCATCAATTAAGTGTTCCACTCTCACACCAGATGCTCCACACTCGCATTAAGTGTTCCATACTCCCATCAGATGCTTCACACTAGCAACAGCTGCTTGACACTCACATTAAGTCTTCCAATCTCATATCTCACACAAGATGCTCCACTCAAATTTAAAGTGTTCCACACTTCCATCAGATGCTTCACATTCCTATTAAGTGTTTCACACTCAAATCAGACACTCCACACTCACAACAGCAGTTGGACACTCATATTAAGTGTTCACACTCGCATCAGATGCCCCACATTCACATCAGACACTCCACACTCATAAAAGCAGCTCAACACTCACATTAAGTGTTCACAATTGCATTCAGATGCTTCACACTCCATATACTAACCTTAAAAACTTGCACAGCAGATAGTATACATCCCTCAAACACTCCACTTTACAATCAAATACTCCTACTACTTCTCACATCAAACACACTTCCTCAAACACTCCAAACTCACATCAAACATAATTTTACAAATCTATTAAACCCTTCACAATTTTAAACTCACATCAAACACTCCACATTTCCATTAAACTCTACCTTCACAATAATACTACAAGCAATAAACAAGTTTGCAAATTACACTTCAATGTTAATCGTAAGTCAGCATCTGATCTACAGGTAATAAAATGCAAACAATACAGGCTTCAAAAACATGCCTATGACTGTTGCTAAAATATATCCATGTTTTTGAACATGTATTATCGTACATAACAAGATACAAATACTGAAATAGGAAGCTCTCATTCTACAGTACAACCAATAATTAAACTAACATACCATAAGGTGGATTGGTGGGATTTTGGTAGTTGTTGAAATCACCAGTTGGTGTTGGGGTATCCTTCTGTGGGGCTGGAGAGCCGTATGTCTGAGGGTTGCCGTAGCCTGCTGGGTTCTGATTTCCGTACATGTCATTGCTTGGTTGAGCCCCATAGTTCCCACCATATGTGTTGTACTGTTGCTGGGGTTGTCCTACAGAAACGAGAACAAATTCACATCATCAAAAACAAAAAAAGCGATGTCAAGTTTAAAAGAAAGCCATTGCTGGGCTACGAACAAAACCAATGATTATTATTTTCCAAAATCATAGCACTAGTTGAAATCAAATAAAACTGGTTATGTAAACAGTATTGGCATACAGTAGTTGCTATCAATAAGATGTAGTACAGTAGGTGAAACACAGCAACGAATATATCTTGCCATGAGTTAGGAATATAACAAGAAAAATAAATTACAAAATCAAATGTTAAGACTAATCATTTAAAAAGAATTTATAGAGAAAGTAGTGTAAGGCATGTATAATGTATCACCATTGTCAACCATGGTTTAACAAACTACAATGTAGGATGTATTTAAATAATTGCAATCTTCCAATAAATATTAACAAGATTAATAACAATAGTACATTAATAATTATTAAAACTTTTCACAGTATATAAGTACAGTATTCCCTTTGTAGAATAGAAACTACATTTTATGTACATCATACGTCTGACAGCGAGCCAATGGAGATGCTTGAAGCTGGGTATTACACAGCATGACAAGAGCAGCAGAGTTCTGGAGAAGTGGGAGATATTTTAACATACTATATTCATATACAGACAAGCAGGAAATTTCCCATCTGGTAGCACACAATGCGATTTCAGCAGAAATTTAAAATGACCATAATTGCATAAGGCCTAAGACTGATGTTTTTCAAATTTATCTTTTTTTTTAATCGCATATATTCATCATTTAGAAAAGAATCACAAGATATTCTACAACACGTCAAATAACAACAGTTTGCTAAATTTCAAAAGGTCAACTATACCCAGACATGCCAATCCTACAAAGCCAACTAGAGGAGTCTGAAAAACTTCTGAGCGGAGTTTTGGCAATGTGAGTAGTATTTCTAAGACATGGTACCAATATGATCAGATTGTAAAATAAGGTAAAGGTAGGCCAAGGCAGAAAATCAACGCCGCACAAATTACAACGAGTGTACCGTAGGCATCACCTACAGTAGTTTTGATTTCAAGCTGATAGGATACTTTCCATTATTAACTTGCATGTGTTTTAGCTTCTCTTTTGGAGAAAGCTCAACACTACTTACTCGTTTTTCGAGCACTGCCTAGGTCTACAACCATGTCACTCTCATCGGACTCGTGTTTTACTAGACTGTTGTTACAAAATCAGTAGACCATGGAGCACTATACAGTTCAGAGTGCAGTGCAACTCTGACATTAATTTGGCCAATGAAATTTCTTTTTTCGAAATCAATATACTGTAGAGCGCGAATAAATTTTTCGTATACAATTCACAGTGCAACTCTGACAGTGATTTGATCAATGAAATTGGTTTTTTTCAAAATTAGTAGATCGTAGAGTGCGAATTACTATTTCGTACAGACTTCAGAGCGCAGTTTTCAAGACGAAATTAAATGGTCTTGTTCTTATCTAAATCATAGGATTATCATTTGTATTCCGAAATGCGCGATTTATTTCCAAAATCAGAGTGCGGAGTTTTGCTTAAATAAACAGAGAAATTCCGCCGAAATCGGAGTGGTTAGCATGTCTGTATACCACCCACATACCCCAAAATGTATAGATGAAAGCTTTTAAACATCTGAAATACATCAATAATACAAAAATATATATTTTATAATGTTCAATGTAATTCTCTCTTTTTTATATTTTATGTAGTATTTTGTATCTTTCTTTCTTTGTTCGATGTGAGGTTAATTTAATTTAAAAAAAACATAATTCTTAAAGGAGTAAAATTGTTCCCAAGGATATGCTCTTTTACAAAGCTGTGTATACGTATAGAGTATCATAATAGTTTTACTATTTTGTTTCAAATATTTTTCATCATGCTACAGCATGTTGACACAGCAAACAAAATGTTATGAGTTGTTAATACTGATTAAAATACAAATTTAATAGAAATTTAAAATAATCATAATTTAAAAAATTATTTCAACATAAAAATAATGAAATAAAACAAGTTTACATTATAAAAAAAGTATAGAAAACGAAAGAAACTGTTGTTAATATTAAAAAACAAAAACATTTTAAATTTTCAAATCACACAAATTCAGTAACATATTTTTGTTGTTTCAAAGAAGGATAATTTTATAAAATAAAATAAATTTCCCATTAGTTACATAGAGGTTAAACTTATGAATGTGGACACATAATTAGTTAAATATAAAAATGAATAATTTTTTAAAATATAGCCGAACTTGATTAGTATAAGCCACTACGTGAAGGGGTAATTTTCTTAGTTTCACTGCAGTGTTTTGGCACCTAGACTTAAACCACATGTTGATCCCCACTTCACACATACGTCATAGTGACAGGGTGCAACAGCAGAGCAAACAGACTATACCTAACTCCCTTTGAGCCTCGGAATGCAATCCTCTTAGGTTTTTCATCGGTGGCGACAAGTCTATGGAAAGCATTTACATGATTAAAGAATTGTAAACCGGCATTAGTGGTGACTATTGTGAAATAAACTGCTGTCTGTATTACGAATGAACTACTGTACTATACAGACCACAGCCTTTTAGTTTTACAAAAATCTAATTACTATTGGAATCATAAAGCTCAACTCTTGGCAGCTTGGGCAGACACAACCGGATTCAACTGTCACATTTAAATCTTATATGTGTGAGCAGATCCAAGACTCAATGCTCATCGTGAGACAGTGGTAGGTTGTCAGGAGAACACTAAACCTGTATCGTATAAAACGCAACTAGTCGTTGCCTATCAAACAATCAATTTGTCAATCATGTATGTTGTTAAGTAGGTCAGAAAAAAAACCAAGAAGCAAATGTCGGCAGCGCCAAAAATAAACGCGTCCAAGTATTCTGTTACTGCATTGTTGTCTTCAGTGTAGCATTAGCACATACTTTTGCTATGATGGAAATAGACCAATTCCGCAATTTGTTTACAGCCGGTCATGCGACGTGTAGTGGGTATAGCTATGGAGAATTTACAATGAGATCAGTGTGGAAGTATAGGAAAAGGTAATATTACGGTTGCGAAAACAACCACCCACCATTAACGCAAGAAAATACTGGCAAGGAAAAGCATGATTAAAAAAGCCTAGAAGATGTAGCGTGTCAAAATCACAGTTCGAAGACAATCTTGCATACCTAAACAGGCCGTAAATATAAGTCTAGGCCTAACATTCTTTTGAAAAATCGCAATGTTTGGGGCTAGTATATTTTGGAGCACTAGCAAACCATGACAAAAATCTGAATTTCCAATCAATTTGGTATAGTTTACTGGCATTCCAACCAGTATTTTTAAACATCGACAATGTGATTTACAGCAGAAACAATCCAAAGAAGCCACACGCTTTCTTATTACCAAGCGTCACTCGCGCTGTCTGTTTACAATTTACACCCACTATAGGTCACATGACTAACCTAGAGGAATGGATCTATTAGAGGCCTATGAGGTCGATGTCAAGTCCATCCATGTAAGAGTCATCAGTCTGATTTCCTGTTAAGCGATTTTAAACCTGAAGAGGCTGTCTTAGTTGGGTTTAAGCTTTAATTATTGCTTTTAACACAGTCAACATATTCAAGTGACCTTGGCTGCATTAACAATAATAATTAATGTAATATATTTTAGTATTTAGTAACTTACCATAGTTGGGTTGTTGAGTCTGGGGGGACTGACCAAATTGTCCCCCTTGCATAGGATACTGACGCCCCTGGGTTTGCTGGTTCATGTAGTTGGGCGGCGTAGAGTTGTTGTAGCCACCTCCGTAATTACCACCTGGTTGACCTCCACCTCCATGTGGGCCACCGGGTCCACCCTGACCAGGTGGTGGCCCGCCATAGTTCTGCTGACCATAACTATCTGTAATTTTTCAACATTTCATCATATTTAGTGTATCAATAATCTGTATCAGTCTGATCACATATTATCCATAGACATTTACTAATCATAATGTACAAATATTAGTTATTTTCCATCAGTATCATATTTTTAAAATATTTTTTATCTATCTGATAAATTAATAAAGAACATTACATACTCATGGAAGGCTGACCCCATTGACCTGTAATAAAAAAAAAATTACAGTTATATTGGAAATATTAACAGCACTTATATAAAGCATGCCGGTTTTACTTATATTATTTTAATTTAACCTCATCAAATGAAATCAGATTCAGATGATTATCATTATTATAGAAATGAATGTGCAAATGTTCACCTTGTTGCTGCTGGGGAGGCTGTGACCATCCTCCTACAAAACACAAAAAATAAATATAAACATTCATTTAATTGGTGTATTTAACATCCATGCATGAGTCAATAGAAATGTTCTTAAAGATACTCATGCATTCTTTTGAGAATGTTTGTATGTACATTATACAAATCAACTTTAATATATTTAAAAAACAGGAAATAAAATCAACCACCTTGTTGCTGACCACCGTAACCGCCAAAGTTCTGGTTTTGGTTGAATCCTTGGGGACCAGGGTTCTGGTTCCACATGTTGGGTTGATTAAATCCTCCCTGATGGCGCATTGCTCCTCCTCCACCTCCCATGTGATGACTGCCACCATCTGGTTTGTCTCCCCCGTGGAACCGTGGCTGAGCTTTCTTCACTTCCACCTGAGTATCATCAAGAAGGAATGAGGCAAATAAGTACAAAATAGAAACATCAATAACATGGTGAAAATCAAAAAAAATTGTAGCAATTAAAATTGCTGATTAAACAATTTTCATGTTTATGCTAATATTCAACAAAAATTAAGAAACATCATATTCTCAATTAAAATAGCAAATTATCAGAGAATTGTAATTACAGTAGTTATATATATATATATGATATGTGTTGAACAGACAGAAGTTGAAATCAGTTTAAAAAAAATATAACACAGAAAAAACAATCTTATAATTTCAGAAACTTGAAGATTTGGAAACTTACCTAAATCCAAAAAGTGTTTAGCTTCTATAATGACTAGGAATTTGAATTACTTACCTTGAGGAAGAGTACATTCCTTATCTATTCTAAGACACCAACAAAACTTGCAAGCTTTACTTACCTTCATGCTATCAAAATTATACTATCAAAATCTTTAAAGTTACAGTCCCATATATATAGTACTTGATATATATTTCTCTCTTTTTTTTCAAATGCATCATCAATACTGATCAGATACAATATTAGGTTTAAAAAATACATTATATTTTTAAAAATTGATTAAAAATTTTTCTTTTCATATGCTTAATATTGTTCAAATAGTTTAATATCATTAGAAGGATGAATGTTGAATTCTATTTTTTATTGTTTGCTTTTATTATTTGTTTTTGCCAACTTAATTCACCAATATAACAGAGTTTTGGCGGAAACCAACCATGTATTTAAAGAGGCTCCACCTTAACAGCAGATATTATACATGGTGTCGCAAGCCAGAGGCATGTTCAACATGATTGGCAGCTAACTTCACCTTACCATTAGTCATCAGAAGCTGTTAGATTTCTATACATCAAGTAATTATGTAAGACTGTAACTTTTAAATGCCTTCCTTACAGAAAATGAGAACTATGATTGTTATCAGTCACTGTAATCAATGTCTTGTAAATGCCTTGCACAATTTCAGACAGGCAACAAACAATGCAGTCAGAACATAAAATTTTCCAATCGGGACCTGATTATTGTTTTGGTTTATATCAACTCATTTCCAGTTACCATGTTTTGACCACAAGTACACAAATGAAGAAAGAAATAATAGAAAATATAAATTAAATTATTATTCCTAAACAATTGCATCATATTGAGTTTGTGGTTGGTATAACAAGCCTATTGTGCAAGACTTACTCTCTTACCTTAAGTAGGAACTAAAACTTACGCCAAGCTATCACACCAACTCGGATTAACTAAATGTTACTAAAAACTTTTTGCACTATCAACCAAATGCATCAAGTACTGTATATAAAACCATAAACTTATCAATTTCTTCTTTTCCTTAATGTTAATGTTTTCCTTAGATGCTTATGTGATAAGATTGTGATGGTTGGATAGACCTACAATAGCATTTGTGTGGACACACCATTTCAACATACTATAAAAGGGACAATTAAAAAATGTTACCACTAGGGTGTAAAAACTAAAAAAACTCGTATCTTAATTTTTAAATATTTTTGTTCTCAATTGTAAAGTACATTTAGCTATTACAGTACTTATAAATTTTGATCCTAAATTTTTACTTATTAACACAAGAGCATCTAAGAAAAATAACCACTTATGATAAAATACATTTTTTGTTCTTCCTCCTCGTTAAATATCTTCACATTTAGCATTTTCAGAACTTAAATTCACTTAAAACCAGCTAAGCAAAAGTAACTGTAATTCAATCATCCAAATTTGCCGGATATCATACAATTTTAAAATTACTGTAGAATTCATTTGGAATATTTTCTACTCCTAAATAATGAAAAACACAACTAAATGGAGTGGATACTTGAAGGAACAAGGAAGAACAAGAACAATTTAAGATAAAGTAATAAACTTATAACTGCACCCTTTTCCCCTTTATCTCCAAAAAATGGACTGAATCCAAGCGGTTCACTGTGTCTTCGTTGTCAAAGGTAACAAATCCAAAGCCTACACAACGCAAGGTATACGAAAAAATTGTGTTAACATCGTCACGGTGGTACGTAGTCTGGTTCTGCCATTTGTGGATGACTTCCCTCGAGTGGAACAGGTGGTACTGATGCAATTAATGCTGGACCATCCATCCTTGCTTATTGTAAATGACTTCAAAAGAACTACTGTATCTTATAATACTTAAGTGTACTCTGTATTATGAAATATCTAATCTTAAATCTTGAAAGTACAATCAATGTTTTTCTAAATGAAAGGAGCTTTTATAATTATTTTTTTTTAGAATATTGGTCATTTTAAATCCAGAGTATTTATCACTTTATAAAGTAACAGTAAACTTATTGTGTTAAATACAGTAGTAATTCGATTCGTGGAGTGTAAAATTCTTATTTTAACTAAATTATTCTTCCACAAATTTTGAAAATCTTATGTACATTTCAATTTAACTAAAATTTAGGCAATGATTTTTTAAAATTCACCATTAAAATTATTTTGTAAAATTGTTATTTTTATGTAAAAAAAAAAAATAGTATCTATGATTGAACCTGCCTTGGTGGGACTGTTCAAAAATATTTTTTGAAGACAATCTTTTCTTGGGTGCTTATCTTTAGCTCCTCTTAGTATACATGCATATATTATTTGATTAAAACTATTAGTATTATTGCTTGTGGTAATTTGTACAATTAATTATCATTAACATTATGTTGTTTTAAGTTGAGCTTATGATGAGGCGATGGAGTAAACACCTTGTAATCTACGGAGTAGAATAACTTAAGAGAAAACACATGCATACACAAATACATTAAACAAAATAATCTTAAAATTAGAACAGTACAGTAGTCTTACAGTAAGTCTTAACGAATCTCCTTATCAACCACGTATAGTAAACTTAAGACTTAAGAAATGAACTGTTGACTACTTATAATAACTTATCAAAATTAGTTATTGCAGTACTGTATAGTGGTGCAATATTTAATAGTAATATCTCACTGTACACCAAATAGAACCATGCATGGCATATTATATAATACAATAATATATCTAGGTACAGAATAATGATGTAACAGTGATAAGATGATTATGTATTACACAAAAAATACAAATTTCATTTCATTACCAAATAAATTAAAAAATGATGCAAAATCTGTCCTAATATTTTGCTACACAATACTGTAACAATTTGAAAATGTTTACAATGTATTTAGAAAACATACAAAGTACTACTGACCTCTTGACCTTTTTGTCTGTTGATCGGTCATAATCACAACTTCAATAACCTAAAAATAAACCACAAAAAACCAACATTAATGCTTTCTGATCTTAAAATTATAACAGTAGGTTTGGTTAATTTGTTGCTAATAATCCTAAGCCCACCATGCCACACAATGGCAATGAAGAGCATGTTGTTTACATACATTCTAAGTATTTGCTAATTAAATTAAATGGCATTTGTGAAAGATCAACGACGAATTAATATTACAAATTATATCTAATTTCATATAATCTCTGGACACTTAGAAGTGTTTAAGGCATAACTTTAAAAATAGGCATAATCTAGTCCACCTTTGGTATATCATTGTCGGAGAAGATGAATGTAGCCTAGGCTTAGAATAGGCCTACAATACCAGAAAATAAAAGTGATTGACTTATGCAACTTTTGTTACTTCAGGAACCCATTGAAAAATAGTGACTTCTCCTTTAGGCGCTATTATTCCCATCAGGCATTTTTTCCAGACAATGCTTCCTCTGGATCACTATTTTTAAGTAGTAACCTTAATACTCTCACAATAAATACTTATAATTATTTTGCTTAAATTGTATGAATAATGTTTGTCCTAAAATATGGTACCAAATCAGATTCTAGCATATTTTCATTGGATTAGAAGCTCTTACAATAATGAAACTTACAGATCCGTATGTGGAAAAGATAGAGTGGAGGTCTGCCTCAGTTGTATCATTTGATAAGCCTCCAACAAACACTTTGTTGTGAATTGCACTAGATGCCCGTTTGCTTTGACTCCTTGGTGTACATGGTTTTGGATCAATCTAAAAAGAAAAAAATTAATAATTCTTTATTCTGATTGGAAATCGGAAATTTTGACTGGGCCCCCAGGTACCTTTAAAAGCCGTAGTGCAGTGCCAGCCAAGTTGACTACATATAACATGCACACACAGATAAAAATATTGTGTAATAATTATGTGCAGATAGTAATGTTAGTAAACCTAATAAATTTCTGTTAGTATATGCTAAAAAGTCCTGCTATGTTAGATATAATGCAATACATATTTTTTATAAAACTGGTACCATTTTTAAATGTGTAGTGGAATTGTATTCCAGATATGGGAAATTATATATCTCTCATAATACCTAGCTTATACCTTACCACCTCAATCCACTTGGAAAGGTGATGATGAATGTGTTATTGTTTAATTTACTCACTGAATAAAATAGGATGGAAGATGTGCCAGTGTGCTATTTAACCCTTACTTTTAATAGAATCAAGTTCTCCAATGTACTACAGTATAAAGGCTTTTCAAAATTGTCTTTTCAAAGTTGACACATGATTCCCACCATTAACTGGCCGGAAAGCCTTACCTTCTTTCCATCTAAAATATGAGGACCATCTGCGAGGACTTTGTCAACGATGCTGGCATCCTTGTATCGGACAAATCCAAAACCTCTACTCCGACCATTCACACGATCATGCATCAAAACGCAATCAGATAATTCACCATACTTTGAAAAGTATGCACGGATACTCTCTGAAATGTCAATAAAAGTTCTGATTTTGGTTACAGTTTACACTACGATCAAGTTACCTGATGATAATGAACTACTTAAAAACCATTTCACTTTTGACAAATTTGATACTATACTGCTTCCCAAACTGTGAGTTGCAACCCAAAAATGGACCGCCAATATTTTTTAATGGGTCACTGGTGTTAAGGCTGATCACAAAAGTGAGTCTCCGGAAAAAAGTTTGGAAGCACTGCTCTAATAGATACAATTTTAAAGTACTGTACATACAAGTGAATATGTTTTTAATAGATACAATTTTAAAGTACTGTACATACAAGTGAATATGTTTTTAATAGATACAATTTTAAAGTACTGTACATACAAGTGAATAT